AAGGTATTATAACTAAAATTCCCTCTAAATTAATCATATAAAATGTACAGGGTGCGTCAGGCAGTAACTGTAATTAATTTATTACCTCTTATGTCAATTAATAGTTAAGGGTATGCCATTTACTAATGTGTAAGTCATAGTCAATTGCATGGATTACTTTTTGAATATGACGCCTCCTCTGCACAACACATTCATCTAGGCGGCGTTGGAAGTTTGCCATAACTCGGCGTAACGTATTCCCTGGGACACTGACGGAGTTGAAGAATTCCCTGGGACACTGCCGGCGTCAGTGTCCCAGGGAATTCTTTAACTCAGGGATAGTGGCACAACGTATTCGGAAAACTTCTTGCTTCAGGTGGCCCCGAAAAAAACGTCTGCACATGAAAGATCAGGTGTGCGAGGCGGCCAGGAAATGTCACCAAAACGGGAAATTTCTCTACCTGGAAATATCTGTCGCAATGGTCCGTCCATCTGGAACTTTCCCATGACGTCCCAAGTTGATATGTTGCCGAAATAGACGCTGGGTAGCAATAACAGAGTAGTTATTCTTGAAATAACTTTCAACAGCAAAATCACGATGCTGTGCACTCCACCGACACATATCACTGTCACACTCAAAATAGCAGCTCATTAGTACACGAATGCGGTAAGAGCTGGCGCGCATTCATGCAGTACGTCATTGTACTACGCAAGTCAAATTACGCTGTGAACGCTGCCGCACCCTGTACTTGCATGATTTAAATTTAAGAGTTGATGGATAAATTTATTTTTCACAATTTTTAGTACTTACTTTGTACAGACATTAGGATATTTTGAAGCAGGATTCGTGAAAAATGAGCAATGCCGTCGCCGCGATTCGAACATCGGACCTCTCGAATACGCACCGAGTGTGTTGGCCATTACACCACAAAGGCATGCTAAGAAGGCGGGAGAAAAAACCTTATATACTCCCCTTTTTTAAAGGTGACTGGGAATTAGGAGACCCTAGTCACCAAATCCTGGTGGTGGAGAAACATGATCCACCACTTTTTTTTTAGTTCAGGCGCTACTGTAGAGACATTAGGATTTTTTGAAGCAGGAGTCGTGAAAAATGAGCAATGCCCTCACCGGAGACGAACTTAGGACTTCTCGAGTACGCTCCGAGTATGCTGGCCATTACACGACGATGGCGTGCTAAGAAGGCGTGAGAAATACCTTATAACTTCTCTAAAATATTTCTGCAAAAATATACAAAACTACGCAAAAAATGCGCCTTTACATTCTTGCATAGTTGAAAAGAAGCCTCCAGTACCGTAAAAATTATAATTTGTATTTTTAAAAATTATTTTCTAAACCAAATTTTCCAGCTTCAGGGAGCAATCTTTTTAATATTGTGCTATAATTCCAGTCATTAAAATAGAGGTGTTTTCTAATGCCACCAATACTTGCTGGACCAAAAGATTTTCTTCCTTAATTTAACTATATTTTTTATTTAGCTGCAATGATTTATTCATTATTGTGCAATATTTCATTAACGTCTACTTGTAGTTAACACAACTTTTTTATATTATTACTTCCTCCTAATTACTGCTCGGATTTTAAATACATGACGTCTCTTAAAATTTAATGAATTCTGTTATATTTTTAATCTAATACGTATATATAAGTAAGCATAGAAATTCCGTACAAAATTAATATGAGTCAAAATAATGTATGAAATTTAAGATAACACAAAATTAATATGAGTCAAAATAACGAATGAAATTTAGGATAATATGGTACTGAATATCAGATATCTGCCAAATTATAAATCAGATAATATTTTTAGCATTAACTGAAATTAAAGTACACTTTTGTGGCAGACAACATTATGCTATCATTTTAAAATAAATAGATAGATATTTGAAAAATATTGATAAGATTCTAGCTACGGACGTCTAGATTTATGAGAAGAAGATTTGCAATTTCTTTTACCGCCAAAGTTTGAATTTTAAACCTAAATCTAAAAGCCAGAACTTTTAAGACTATCTTAGCGAAAATGGCGTAAAATCGCATCAGACTAGCACTAGTGGCAGCATTTAAATAATAGAAAAATTTAGAAAAGTGGTAAATGATTTTTAATGATAAATTATATATAAGGAAAACGAATTACAGGTGATTTTATTTACAAAGCGGTGTTTTGTATTTCTAGTCGTTAAGCTCCCATATTATCGCAACACAATGTTGGAGTATTCAGTCATTATCAGTCTTATCACCCATCTTGCAGAACCGCTGTTATAATCGTGTTACCTTCTCACGCAAACAGGTGGTAGAGTAGAACGCACAAAATTTACATTTTTCTGCTTATCTACGACAGGTGTAGCACAAATATAAATTTCAACAAGTCTCATCTATATAGGAAACATAAGCCTGAAAATAAAGTAGGCATAAAAAATCAATTTAACTTAAAACCCTTTACTGACTGCGAAAATCATCTGAGATAGAAGTGTTGATGCTCCTCATTCTATTCGTATGGGAAGGGGATGCCTTTAGATATTGTAAAGTACTCTGGGAAAGACAAATAACTCTTACTTTGATTATTAAGCTCTTTCCAAAACACTGTTCTTTTCACACCAATGTTTGCCTTACGTACCAGCTTCAGTATATTTTCTAAACATGCTGCATATAGTTCTAAGAAATGCTGAAGGCCGCTCGATAATCTGGGTGTGTCTAAACACGAAATTTCATTTTGTTCTAAATATTACCTACGATAGGCACGCTAGTGAAAGAGTTTTGACGTGATGAAGGCGGCTGTTTGTTTTCCATCGCAGTTAAGGAGGCTCCGAAAATGAAAGCGGTACTTCCAGACACTGTTTTGGTCAGAACTGCCATCAGTGAAATTACACAGAAGGATGAAAATTATGCTTTTCAACACATTTGTTAATCATTTTTTGTCTTGTTAGATTCTGAGAATAAGGTAAAGTCTTTCAGAAGTCAGAAGGATAGAAAGAGGTATTATTTAGCAGTCACATTTTCACTGTCTTTTCATTCTAAAATTTTCATTTTAAAGAAATATAACCAAAAACTTTACTCTTTCATATGATTAGGCTTTTATATGATTAGGCTTTATACTTTCATATGATTAGGATTACTTCCTTGTGCAAAATAAAGGAAGTAATGTAATCTCAAAAAGTTTCGGATATCATATTTCAACGGAAATATCCATTTTGATTCATTTGTAAATTCATTTGGACGATTTTTTGGGGTGACATCGGTACGTACGGACAGAATAAAGGACTTCGTTTTCCAAAACGGATTGGGAAATGGATTCAGAAAGTTTTTTTTTTTTCGTGACGTCTGTACGTATGTGTGTATGCAGCTCATACGATTTAAAAAGATTAGCCATAGAAATGTTAAATTTTGAATATGGGACTGTTATAACATCTAGTTGTGCATCTCCCTTTTTATTGCAATCGGCAATACAAAACATATATATATAATATATATCCACCCTTTTACCCGGCTTAAAAGTCTTTACCCGGCCTTTATTTTCACAATCATTCATCTAGGCTTTATACTTCCAACTACATAAGTGTTTTACATGACGAAAATATTCATGTTTCGACAATGTCCAATTTAAAATAAATTAATTTTCGGCAAATAACGAAATTTAACTTTTAATGCGATTTCCAAGTCGAAAAATGTGTGTAATTTAATGGGCTGTGCAAGGAAGTCATGTGGTGTCCACATCAGATTTTTTATATACAGCAACATTGTATACTGTGATAGGATGTTAATTATTCAGATTTATGAAATTGCGGTTGAATTTTAACAGGAAAAAAGCTAAAAGCTGATAATAATTATCTTTCATTATGTAATACTTATACACGAGACATTTCGTACTGAAAGTTAATACTACATTATTACGTTGCAAACAAATGTTTTTAAAATGACCATGTTATATTTTTTCCTTATTCGAAAAATCAGTAAAATAAAAATATTACGGTGAATTTTTATTACTATTTATCGCTCGAAAATTTATTTAAGGGCGTACATTCATAAAGCTGCGATAAAATTTCATTAAATACACTAAAAAGAACCCTTATCCTACACTTATAAAGATAAAGATTTGGGTTCTTAAAGAGAATTCGAAACACTGAGAGACAGAGCATGCCAATTTGAAATTTAAATTAAGCCGAGATTCAGACTTGAACTGACGTTGAGTTTAAAGAAAAACTCCATGCATTTCTAAGTAGACAGGCATGGAATTCCTCAAAATACAAATCTCTTTAAAACAAAACTCAAGTTCGAATTTTGTCTTAATTTAGAATGAAGATTTATGTAAGAATGCACCATGGAGTAAAGAAATCACCGAATTATAAAACTGGAGGCGCAAATAATCAGTATACCCGGTTTCAGTATGTGTGGTATAGATGATAAAAAACGCTTTAAGTAAAGAATAACATTCAAAAGCAAATTCATACACATCACATTTACGCTTCCTTTTAAAGGTATATTTCAGAGAAAGGTGGGACATTTAATTAACTCGGATGTTTACTTTCTTTTTTTAAGATTTTTTTTATTTCGGAATGCTGCGGAAACTTCAACTAGTTAATTACGTGTTCAAAATGGGGAAACTACGAATTCTTAACAATTCATTTGTTCTTAATAATTAGCATTGTTCAATGGTTTTATTCAGAAACGTATGACAAAAGCTTATTCTGTGCTTAAGAGTAATTTTGTATACCTTTCCTGTTTTTTGAAATTTTGTTGTTTCAGTTCCTTCCTTCAGATACATTCTGATATCAATGTATAGCATTCAAGATCTACACTTAAATTCTATTATGTAGAATTTAAGTGTAGATCTTGAATGATATAATAATTAATCTTCCTTTCAGTTTTAAACTAAGGTTCCAAGGGTAAAATATTTCTTACTATTAGATGTAAAGACTAGAAAAAAATCTAAAAAAGGGTATAAGACTTAATAAGCAAAAATATTTATATCTTTAAAAATCTTGTATTAAAAATAACATACAACTCACCTTTCTCAGTAGCACTCATCAACCGAATTCTCTTCGTTTTCTTCCTTTCTGTATCCATCCATGCAGAGCCAGCACACCCCATAGTTCTGTACTCAGAGGTTTAGAAGATTTAGAGCAGTTTCAAGCAGAAAAAAATCTTTAAAATTTAGTTCTTCGCCAGAAACACAAAGAATTGACACTAGACAAATATCTAGTTCTTTTACTGTAAAAATTAATAATGCTTCAGCTCTGTCACTCTATCTTTTAATCTTGATTATTTCAGCCTTCATATTATGTAGAAATATTTTTTTTTCATCGGTATACAGTAAGATATCCATCTGACACGTAGGAAATTCAAGACGCAAATAATATATGTTTCGATTCCAGGAAGTGTAAGAGAAGAACTTTCAACAAAACGCTCATTCCTTTTTCAGCAAGCGACGAAGTAAGTTTTCCCTTAAAAAAAAAAAAAAAAAAAAAAAAAAAAAAAAAAAAAAAAAACGGATTTATTTTCTTTCAAAGAATCCTATGGCAAAAATTATTTTTACAGCACAGAGAAAAGATAAATTATTTCAAAAAGCATTTTCAAAGAATCAATCTTCTATCCTCAGCTTGATATTAGTTTTATCGAAATAATTTTTTTCCTGCAATAGTAACTTAAGCTTTTTTTCAGAAGCTTTCCTTCCTTCTTACTTTGTCCTTAGCCAGAACTTATCCCTCATCTTGTTGCCCAAGAAAGCTTTCAAAATATATCTATGATATTTTAAGGACAAAATATTTTCTGCTGTTGGTTTAGATTACGCCTTCAATATGTCAGTCGTTGTATAAAACTGATCTGAGAAAATCCTTTTCTTAAAATTTAAGCAAGCAGCTTTTACTGATCTTTTATTGGAAAGAGAAAATCCCTCCAAATCTCAAAAATCCTCTGCTTTTCTTACTAAATCTTAACTGCGTATTTATAGTGTTATAGAAATAAAAATAAGGAAAATACTAAAATAAAAAGTTAAATTTTTATCTTTACAATTAAAAACTAAATACTTTTCAAAAAATTAAGATTTGCGATTTCTATACAATCTAACAGCGATTTCTATATTCAACATCATTTTGCTACACTCTTATTCCACGTATTAATTAATCTTGGAGCATAAGCAAAGGTTTTAGCGAATAACACTACTATTAGAAATATAGAGCAGGGGTCCCCAACCTTTTTGTCCATAAGAGCACATTCTAGAATATCTGTTGGACGGTGGGCCACCATTTACGTTTAAAATGTGAATTTATAGGTGGATAGATTTAATAATACATGCACATAAAAAACAGATCTGTCTCATCTAGCTTTGCACTAGTGTCTGTGTTGGACGCAATTTCTATTTCATTAAAAATGAGAAAACTTTCCCATCGAATTTTATTGAAAGCTAAAATATTTTTATTGTGATCGCACAGCGGCGGGCACACGTTAAACGATCGGCGGGCGCCATGGTTAGGAACCTTTGATATAGAGTGTCCTGGAGAATTAATTCTCGGTGATTAAACATTAATACACACTTAATAGCGATTCCATTTGCTTTTCAATTACAAGATATATTAAAATAAAAACCCTTCTTAATTTCTTTTCATTTTCGCTCTGTGAATTAAATTTCTAAGATATAAACGCAAGTGAAAAATCTTAAAGCAAAAATTTGGATATAAAGCAATCGTTTGGTATTATTTGAATCACAAAGTGATGCAAAATTTAACTGTTCATTTGATATTCGAACTTTATTTAAAGCACATTTAAAATATATACTTTTTTTAAATGATATATTAGAGCAATTCATTAATTTCAAAATCAGATGTTTTATACAGGAACTAAGATCTTTTAAATTTCTAATTATCACATTTAGCTGAAAGCGCAGTGATTACTAAAAAAACATATTGCATTTTAATCCAGAAAACATTATGACATAAAATTAGTAACACAACAACCTTGAGTTTGGCTTCGATTTAAGTCAAGATCCCAATCGACTTCGAGGGCAAAACAGTTACAGGTCATTCTTCAAGGGGCGCAAAGAAATCTGCAAGACAGTGACATGATCAATGACAGATTATGACATGCTCAATGCCACTGGTTTTTTTTATCTTAGTTTAGTTTGAAACATTTCTCCAGTAACAGCAAAGTCTTCATTAAAGTGAGATGTTATTTTTAAACTCAATAATATGAAATGTAAAGCATTTAGGTACAGATTTGTGAAGCGAATTGCAAAGAATAATACAGGATAGACGATTTTAAAATTACCTTCTCAACTAGAGTTCGAATGCTTTCAAGAGCGAACTACAGTTCGAGAGCCATTTCTCGAACTTTTTCTTCTAATTTGAGTAGGTCCAACTGCAACGTCAATGATTTGTTTTATTTCAATTATCTAGATTACTCTTTAGTTGAGCGTTGAATAAATCTTTTCGTTTCAAGGAGGATCGAACCCAAAATCTCTCAATTCAATAAAATCAATCTTGACGCAACTTTCAAATATAATAGGACATGAAAGGAATGCAATTTTTCCAATTTCCCTCCTCAAAACACCGAAAATATGTAGCATGCATTGAGAACATCTCGAATTAATAAAAAGCTTTTAAGGGAAATTTTTATTATTCTGGGAATACGTCATCATGTAGATCTAGAGCCAAGCCATAGAAAAAAGGACTTTGGACTCATGAGTGCTAAGACAGAGTGAACTGCGCAATCATTCGGAGAAGGACGTTGGTAAGAACAAGACGACGATGACGGTATTTAAAGACGTGTATATGTAAAAGACGGTTAATTTTCTTCACTTGTTCATATGTAATCACCTATTAATCACCTATTAATCACCTATGTAATAACCTAGACAGTTCAAGATGAACTAACACTGAAAGAGCATTTAAGAAGAGCTAACGCCGTTATTTCTGAAAATGTTAAGATGGCTGAAATAAACCATTTAAGACGACTTCTTTAATACTAACTAAAAATCTTTTTTTTTTTTTTTAAGTTTTATTTTTCAGATGCCTAGATATAGACGGAGGCACCACGAGAATACGAGGCCACATTCTGTCAGAATAGGCCGAGCAGTTATGGGAATACGTCATGGAATAGATGTAGAACCAAGCCGTAGAAAAAAGGATTTTGAACTCCCAAGTGCTAAGACAGAGTGAACTTATCAGGTTCAATGTTTCTTCTTACCTTCTTCGGAAACATACAATGACCTGACTAGAACAGAGAGCTTACTAAAGCTATGTTCACTAATTGTAGTAAGTAGACAGGATACAGACGAAGGGTATACAAAACCCTTTATTTTTCTTTATATACAATGACTTCCGTACTTCGGAATACAATGACCCTCCACTCGGGGTCTAACGTAAAAGATATCAAATAAAAACTAAAACTCTAATTTAACTTTAGAATAAGATTGGCCTTATAATAACAGGAAGCGTATGTAGCACAGAGACTGTGAACACTACAATACGTTTAATTTATCAAGAGGATTAAAACCTCTGGCCTGGAAGGCAAATAGCAACTGCGTAACTTCTAAGGTAAGCGGCCTGCTTCGAACTCACTGCTTCCTCTCTCTCTGCTTGGCAAAAAGGCCACACTTAAATACTTGGCGTTCGCCAGACAAACTTTGCATAAACTCCTTCACGCTTATAATTCTGGCCGGAAGTAGAAAATAAGAAGTGATAGTAAAGATTTAAAATAAAATAAACGTTAGTAAAACTTAAGATCCTTACATACTTCCCGCCAGAGTTAATTAGTTTTGAAACTGAGGTCTAAAACGACCTTGTTGAAAACTTTTAACTCTAAAAACTAACGCGAGGCCAACCTTTTACAATCATAACTTAGCTAGCTAGAAACTAGAAATTTAAAAGAAAGAAATTTGTTTACAATAGGAGCTCCCGGGATATACAACAATCTTTTTTTTTCTTTTTCATCTGTACTGCATCTAAACAGGAGCTTTATTCAATTCTGGTTCCTTCCAGAGATCTGGAAGGAAAACTAGTTTAATGAAATGTTACAGAATGACATTGCAAATAACATATAGAATATACTTTTTCTTAACATTCTTATTTCATTCATGACTATTTAAATTATCTCTCCCCTCTCCCCGTGCTCTCTGACATGTGTTGTAAAAGAACACCAACCACGAATGTGTTTCTGTCTACGTGTGCCACACTTCCTCCTACAATCAAACACTAACGTGTTAAAATTCAACATACGAGACCTCTTAAACACACCCTAATTTCAACTCTAGACCCTGAGGTACTATTCTGAAAGTGGCTAACTCTAAAGTGTAGCGTCAGAGAGCCTAACTACATCATTCATTCAACCTTTAACATATATTCGTCATGATTTAATCTTTACAGTCACACGAATAACAAATTTTTAACATTACTTTCACTTTCACTTTTACCATATCACGGTATTTCTTAACATTCAAAATAACAGTTCACATGTATACAAGAACATATCAACATGCCGTTAATTTTACACATTTGAAAACATACATTAGTAGTACATTGTTAACTTCTATTCTTTTCAAAGCAAGTGCCAATTCTTTCTACATTGAAATAATACTACATTTCAAAAAAGTCTTTCAGACTAAAATTTCTTTCTTGCTAGAATGTTTTAAATAAAATTTATACAATAACTTTTTACAATATTTAAGTCTTTACACAACGCTATTATACATCAACTTTAGTTTTACGCGCGAGTAATTGAAAAACATAATAATAAAAATCGGTCACAACTCATTTCTCTCGCCCTTTTGGCGATAAAGGTAGACCTCGCATGAGGTAAAACTTCTTGAAATCTGCCACTTGCAGTAAGAATGAAAGATTAACTTAAGTTTGTAAAGTAACACATAAAATTTTACTTATCTTTGTAATATTCAGGACATCCTTTTCTGGGCCCAGTCTTTAAAGGTATAGCTGATAGTAGCTTGGTTTATCCTCCTTCTTGTACGGGCTCGCCCTTCAGTGCTTTCTCCCTCTGGAAAGCTTCCGTTTTTTTCACCCACTACGGCCACCCTTGAACATCTTCCTTCTTGTCCTCTGCTTGTGGTCTTGGCCGTTTGAAGGCAGCTGGTCTTGGCGGAACCGGGAAACTTCTGTCGTGATCCTGCTTGGACCTCGTTGTTGGCCGTTCAAATTTTTCTTGTAACTTTTTTCCTCCGCCGCTGATGGCCCTTCCGCAGTTCGGCGACTTTTGCTGCGGAGAGTTCTGTCGGATGAGTCAGATCTTCCGTTTTACACAGCCGGGTTATAGTTGCCGTCCTTTCTCCTGGTCCTTTCCACATACGTCGTCCTTCTCCCTTCTTCATTCTGGGGGTGTTCGTGAACTCTGTTTTCTGGACGGTGGAACGGCTTCTTTTTCTTGCTTTTTACCTTCAGTTTTTTTTTTTTTTTTTCCGCGGGGCAATTTTTCTTTCACACTTGCTTCCTGTCTCTCATTGGCTTGCCCTTGTACTTGTCGTTTTCCCACCTCTGGAACTTGTACCTGCGGTGTCTGCCGTGCCGGATCCTGCAAAAGATCTGAAAAGATTTTCATTTTTACGATTACGATCGAAGTAGGGTTTAATTTGATCAATGTTTGCGGAACAGGTTTCACCACCATTTCTTGCTTTAAACACTACAACAGCGTGAGTTATTTTTTCTATAACATATGGTCCTTCAAATCGTGGAAAAAATTTGGCAGTTTTATCTTCTGGTGCTGAAGAAAGTGAATGCTTAATTTTTAAAACTTCATCCCCTACTTTATAAGTTACTCCCCGTCGTTTCAGATCATAGTATAACTTCTGTTTTCTTTGTGCTACTTCCGTATTCTTTTTGCTTCTTTTATTTAGTTTTTTTCTATATCACCCATTTTAAATTCTGGGGCTCTTTGTTGCACATAAAATAATTTATCTAACGGTGTTATAATCCTTTCTGCCTAGAAATAACTCAGCAGGAGTTTTGCCCGTTGTATCATGTTTTGCGGTCCTAAGGGCGAAAGCAAATTCATTGACATAGTTATCCCAGCTTTTATGAAAATTTTTAACATAACTACGGATAATTTTCACTAATATTCTATTGACCCGTTCCGCTATATTTGATTGATTGCGGCCGATACGGGACCATTTTTAAATGACGTATGCCCAGTTTTTGGCACATGTCTTCAAATATATTACTTACAAATTGAGGACCATTATCCGATATAACTTTTAGGGGCGCCCCGTATTTTAAAATATATTTATTTAAAATAGAATCAGTAACTAATTTCGCGGGAGGCTCGTTTTAAGGGAACAATTTCGGTCCATTTACTAAAATGATCAACCATAACAAGGAGATAGCGACTTTTTATTTAACTGACTTTTTGGGAAAGGGCCCAATAAATCGATGCCGATTATTTTCATTTGGAAATTCGGATTTAATACTATTTAGAAACCCGGCCGGGCGGAAATTAATATAATTAACGGCTTGACATGTTGGGCAGGACTGGACATACGCCCTTGTTAACTTTTGCAGTTCAGGAAAGTAGACTGCCTCGCGTACGCGTTGGATAGTTTTTTTGGATAGTTTTTCGAATACCAGCATGAGAAGCTAAAGGGCTGTCATGGAGCTCTTGCAGGATATTTAATCTAAGACTAGCTGGGATAACAGGTCGAAATTCGTTGTTGGAATTCGTAGTTTTTGTATAGAATAATAGACCATCTATTAGTTCGTAATGGGCCGCCCCCTATTTCTTATCGCCACAATATCTTGGTGGCTAAAATTTTCAGGATCCTTCAAATACTCATAAATACTTCCAAACTCAGGATCCTTACCCAGTTCGGTTATTACAGTTTCTCGGGAATTTATTGTACATGCTGTCAGCATTGCCAACTTTTACGGTATTACCCTGTTCGTCTAATTTAATAATTCGTGATAGGGCATCTGCTACGATATTTTCCTTTCCGGGGGTATGCTTGATTACCAGATTATATTCTTGCAGCTTGAGTGCCCATCTTATTAACCTTGGGGATAAATTTTTCCCTGAGTACAATCTAGTTACCGCCGCATGATCAGAGTA